ATGTATATCGAGAATTCTTTGGATAGCTAATATCGAACAAAATGGGTCTAACTTGATAACTGATAACATTTGTATATGATGGAGGAGGATCAACCAAGATATCACTATTATTAGTGAATGGTAAAATATATTAGGTTGTCAATATGCTTTTAAAGTCTCTGAATGCTTTTTTAGTCAATTGCAACATAAGTTTTTTATACTCATTTGAGACATCAAATTGTTTCTAATAAATTTAAAACAATTAGTATGAACACATTGAATTTTAATTAAATAATCATTTAATAAATTTTATGAAATAGTTGAATAAACATACCATAACAGACTCCCATCTACGATCCTTTAGATCATCAGAAATTCATCACCAATTATGGTACGTAATAGAAATGCTACTACAGATGATTACCCCAATGTGACTAGCCAACTTGGTAGCTCCATCAGACACAGGCTGCCCACTTTGATTAAAGTCAACAAGAATTTTTATGTTAGTTGTTAGAATCTGTTTATTTCATCCCCTTGCTTTATTTTTTTCACAGCAGGTATACCTTCTTCATGTTCAGTAACAAGAGACATGTGTTATTCTGATTCCATAATATCTATAATTTTAGTCATAATTATATGAAATTCACCAATCTATCTCTCTAAATTTTATATAGTAATAAAATACAACCAATATCATACTATAGTTACTAAACCAATATATGTAAAACAACCTTAAAGCAATAATATTTTACGGGTACAAGCCATACTATAAATCCCATCTTAAATAAGATTTTCATGCAAAACAAATGATGAGTAAAAAATATACATAAATTTTTCACAATACTATTCAGTAAACCAAAATATTGAAACCAAACTATAAAGAAACACTATACATGTAATGAAGGGAGGTTGTGCAACTAAATTGATGGTGGAATGAATAAAAAACAAAAAAAAATTATATATATATACACACAATAAGGAATGAATAAAAAACATACCTATATTGAAGAATATAAATAATACAAAACACAGATGAAATACACACATACCAATAAAAAAAGGTACGACGGTGCTGAATTATTAATGGTCGACAATGACGAGAGAAATGAAGAAACCAAAATGCTAACTAAATGGGTTGATGGTTTAGGGGTTGGTTGTAATGTAGCTTTGGGTTTATCATTCATTGCATTAGTTATTTGGCTTTCCAAAGTTCAAGAAAAGAGAACTATTTTTTTAAAATGATCACTCAAGGTGTTTTACAAAAAAAAAAAAAAATTTGCATGAAGTAATCCTATTAAATTTATTATAAGGGATTATTCAAGGTATTTGCTAGGTAAAAACGCCTTGAATAATCCCATAAAAAATTTAGAAGAGATTATTCAAGACGTTTTTGGCTAAAAATACCTTCAATAATCTTTTCAATTTTTTTACTAGGAGATTATTTAAGGCGTTCTTGGCGAAAAATGCAAAACACCATGAATAATCCACTCTAATTTTTTTGGATGATTATTCAAGGCGTTTTTGCCCAAAACACCTTGAATAATCCCACCGTTGTATAATTTTTTTTAGATTATTAAAGACATTTTTGTTGAAAAATATCTTGAATAATCTCCAGGTTTTTTTTTTTTTTTGGATTCTTCAAGGCATTTTCTAAGCAAAAACGCCTTGAATAATCCTAAAAAAAAATATACGGAGGATTGAATAATCCCCTATAGTAAAAAAATAAGAGGGGATTATTCAAGGCTTTTTTGGCCTTCAATAATCTTTTTTTTTTAAGATTATTCAAAATATTTTTTGCCAGAAACACAATGAATAACCCATTCAATTTTTTGTAAAAGAATATTAAGGTGTTTTCTAGCCAAAACACCTTCAATAATTCCTTCTAAAAAATTGGAGAGAATTATTCAAGATAATTTTGACAAAAAACACATTTAATAATCCCCTTATAAAAATAAAAATGGAATATTGAAGGTGTTTTTAGTCCAAAATACATTGAATGATCTCCTCTATAAATTTTTTAAGGATTATTCAAGATGATTTTAGCCAAAATTGCCTTGAATAATCCCTTCATAAAAATGGAAGGGGATTATTCAAGGCGTTAGAGAATATTGAAGGTGTTTTTGGCCAAAAACACTTTAAATAGTCCCTTCTATAAAATTTTTGAGGATTATTCAAGGCAATTTTGACCAAAATCGCTTTGAATAATTCATTCATAAAAATGAAAGAGGATTATTTAAAGCATTTTTTTGTCAAAAACGCATTGAATAATCCCTCATAAAAATGAAAGGGGTTATTCAAAGCATTTTTAGTCAAAATCACCTTGAATAATCTATTTTAAAAAGTTGAAAAAGATTACTCAAAGTATTTTTTTGTCAAAAACACCTTCAATAATTTCCTCATAAAAATCAGAGATTATAGTTATTATTCTAAGGAGATTATAGTAATTATTTAAAATTTAATATATGTAAATTCCCTCCAATCAAACGAGTGAATTTGAAAATGGGATGTCCAAAAAATGAAAGAAAACTCTGAATATCATATTTTCTTATGGATCACACTTTTCCCTAGAATTTACGATTTCATGAACCAAATGCCCCATAAAACGTGATTACGATTGACTCTATTTTTGGGGAAAGTAAAAATAGTTAGTATTTTGATTTTCCAAATATGGAAAAAAAATTTCAACTGGTTAACTTTTGCAATATTGAATTGACTCAAATCAAATAACTGATATGGTTCTTACATTTTAAAACAATAAAGATAATTAATTTAATTTTTAAAAAATAAAATAATATAAAAATTAATGAAAAATATATTTAAACTTAGTTTGAATAATTTCAATTTTTTCCTTTATGTGCTGAAAACTAAATTAAATCAAATAAAATCATTTGGTTGAATATTATGAAAAATATAATATATAGGTTTTTGAATTTCAAAATTTTTTCTCGACCATAAACCGTTAATGGAAGTTATCCCCCACCATACAAACTCCAAACTTTACTGAACCAGCCATCTATACTTAAACTTATGATTTAAAAAGTAGTGATGTTAATTTTACACATATTTAATGAAAAACTTAATTTTTTATCTGAATAGAATGAAAATAAGTATTATATTATAAGTACGAGAATGTAAATAAGTATAATTTTAATTTTTTTTATTGGTACGGGGATGAAACGAGCAATTTAGGATTCATCTTGTATCCTATATATATTTATATATGTATATATATATTTGTAAACAGATTTTTTATTAAATAATATAAATTATTATTTTATATTAATTAAATTAATATATATTTATTGAAAAAACATATTTTAATATATATTTATAAAAAATTATCAAAATATATAAAATAAAAATAAAAATAATAAATTTTTATTTTTATTTTTATTTTTATTTTTTTAAAAAGCAATAGGTATAAATATTATCCATACTTACTAAATTTTTATAAATATGAAGATAGATTTAAAATATATATTTGATATAAGTACGAAAATAAATGTAATATAAAAATTAAAAGATGAGGATAAAAAATATTTTATTTATCTCATATCATTGACATCTTTATTAAAACGTTTTAAAAGTTCTCAATAAAACATTAATTAGTTTAGCTTATATTCACTTAAAATCTTCGATTAGCTCTGCCTGAAAAAAAAATTGTCAAAATATAAAAAATCAACCTTCTTCCATTTATTTGAACACCAATTCCATTGGTTTATATGGATCAGTACTATAGCTCTTAAGGTCAACCTCAATTACTTGCTTGCACAACTTACAGTCAACTTCACTGACTAATTCCCAAACAAACATCGAATTTCAGGAAAGTCTTCTATTATTAACCTAATAATAATATAAGGTGTTAATTAGAATTATTTTAAAATAATACTCCTGTTATGAAATTCAACCTTTTGGTGCGAGGCAAGTCACTTTTGGCACGAGGCAATGAACAGGTCCCTTCAGATTGATGGCTTTTAGTTGGGATGTCATATAGGGAGAAATAATGGGGAAAGAAAACAACAAAAAAAGGCATCACTGTGTGCTTTTTCTCTAGATGCCTCTACAGTTGTCACGTTGGTAACAAGGCGTCAGTGTCACCATCCAAAGGCTAATTACCGCTTATACGTGACTTGAAGCAACCGTTATACAGTGGAAACCCGATATCATATCGGCGTCAGATTTTAATGAAGCATTGGTTTTACAATTATTTTTTTTTCTATGATTTATTACTGATAAGAGTTGCCAGCTTCAACTGTACTTGATTGTTTTACTTCGATCAAATTTTATAAAATTATTTTTTAAAATTAAAATTTTAAGACGAGCCGAGTTAGATAATATTAAAAAAAAATTAAATGGATTAAATTTAAATTTTAAGTAAATTTAATTTGATTTGATTGGTATTATATAAAAATTATTTTTTAATTATATATTTATATTTAAAAAATAATATTTTATATTTAAAAATAATATTTTATTAATTTTAAATTTAATTAAATATTACTTATAAAATATTAAATTAAATCGAATTTAAATATAAAAAATAAAAAAAATATTTAAATCGAATAAATTTAAATTTTATAAATATAAATCAAATCAAATTTAGAATGAATAAAAATTTATCCGATTCGACTCAATGTGAACGCTGATTACTGCCTGCCATTAACGAAGTGTGGATCGATCGATTTACTGTCTTTAAATCATTATCTATAATCAATTATACTAACCAATTCGGGTTGGTGATATGATGCAAAGAAACTACTAGTTTCCAAAGACATGTTTACCCTTTTAAAGCAAATAATTTCGCCTTTACGGAAGGGTGTTTTTGGCTTTTGACACCGTAAATTATGACTGGCCAAGACAATAATATATAATAACACAAACAAAAGCAAAGGGCACACATTAATGTGTGCACGAGACGAAAAATCCAAAACTTGTAGCAGTAAATAAATAAAATTAAAAAATTGGAAATGGAAGAAACAAAGAGCATGGGGAAGAAACAAAGAGATTGAGAGAGTGGAGCGTTAAGACAACAGTGATAAACAACAATTTCCCGCTGGATTAGTTTGGCCAACTCTTGGATAAATAAGATTCTATGGATGTCACTTCGACAGAAGCGCCCGGCAAAGCAAAGTCATAAGCTTCCTCTTCTCTCTCTTTCTTTAGGCGCTGCTTCAAGAACACGTTTTGTGACTTCCGGAGTGCTGTGAGGCTAGAATTCTGAGCCAAAGCCAAAACGATCCCAGAAAACAGAGGAAAAAAGAAGGAGACTAATCAGTTGAGACAATCAAATATGACAAATCCACTCAAAGGCCAATATCACTCTCATTCTCTCACCAAGAATTTCTTACCGTATGCTTTTTATGCTCTCCTCCCCATAGCGCTCTTTCGCATGTACTTTCACCCTTTTTCTTTCCCCCAGTCTACCCCAGATCAGCTTCCTCACAACAACAGCTACATCCTCACCAGTTCTTCTTCTTCCAAAGGTACGTTGAGTAAAAAAAGAAAAGTTGCCAGAACTTTTAACTTTTTCTGAGCTTGGTCTTTTCACTGTGTTGGATTACGGATGTTATTGCTAAACAAGTTTTCTTTTCCTTTTTTTTCTCTTTTCTTTTTCTGCTTATTTGCAGAAGAGGAAATAGCTAATGAAACTCGATGTGACTACACCAATGGCAAATGGGTACATGACAAGATGGGGCCTTTGTACAATGGCACAACCTGTGGTACAATCAAGGACAGTCAAAATTGCATCTCACATGGGAGACCTGACTTGGGTTACCTTTATTGGAGATGGCAACCAAGCCAATGCAAGCTCCCAAGGTTTGATCCCAACACTTTCTTCCACCTCCTTAGTAACAAGCATATAGCTTTTGTTGGTGATTCCATGGCTAGGAACCAATTGGAATCACTTCTTTGCATCCTAGCCACTGCCTCCAATCCTAACCTGGTTTATAGAGATGGTGAGGATAACAAGTTTCGTAGATGGCATTTTACTTCCCATAACATTACTGTATCGGTTTTTTGGTCACCATTTCTGGTTAGAGGTGTTGAGAAATCAAAAACTGGTCCAGATCAAAATGAATTGTATGTGGATACTGTTGATGAGAGGTGGGGAGCCGACGTGGACCATATAGATACGATTGTACTCTCAATAGGGCATTGGTTTCTTCATCCAGCAGTTTATTATGAGGGTGGTTCGGTATTAGGTTGCCATTACTGCCCTGGACTAAATCACACTGAGATAGGATTTTATGATGCGATGAGGAAGGCCATAAAGACTGCCCTTAAGACAATAATTGAAAGGAAAGGGGCTAATGGTTATGGAATTGATGTGTTTCTGACCACATTTTCACCTTCACATTTTGAAGGCGAATGGGATAAAGCTGGTGCTTGTCCCAAGACGAAACCTTACAAGGAGGAAGAAAAGATACTTGAAGGCATGGATGCAGATATGAGAGCAATTGAGGTTGAAGAAATGGAAGCCGCGAAGGTAAATGCTAAGCAGTTTGACGGGTTGAAGCTAGAGATATTGGATGTGACCAAATTATCATTAATGAGGCCGGATGGTCACCCAGGACCTTACATGTATCCATTTCCATTTGCTAATGGGGTTCATGAGCGCGTACAGAACGATTGTGTACATTGGTGTTTGCCGGGTCCTATAGATACTTGGAATCAGATATTGTTAGAAGTTATCAGGAGATGGAATATTCAATCAACGAGAGAAGAATCAAAAGAACACCCAATGCTAGCTAGGTTTTGATTTGATTTGCTATTCTGCTTTATTTTGTTGGTTTATATTTCTTTCTGAAAACAAACAGACAAATGAAGAAATTTTGTCTAGGGGTGACAAAGATAGCGATTCTTTTGGAACATATGTTGATTTTGTATCCAATCTGTACAAATGATATCAATGTGAAATGAGTAGAGGAATTTGAAAGATCATTGGTAGATTTTATTTGTTTCATACATCCCCAGGAATTTACTCCTTCAGTTTTGTCTATTCTGGAATTTGCCGCCTTGAATCTTGCCCATTTTGGGCAAAGTTTTAGCGGTCAGAGTTATTTACAGTTGAAAATTTTAATTACATGACAGATATTTACGGTGGAGAAAATATTTTACTGAATTAGGTCACCTTTTAATATATATATTTTATTTAAATTATGTCATATAATTATATTATTTTTAAAAATTAATTATTTATTGGTATAAATATTTATTATTTAATTATCACATATGATATATAATGAATGATTGATTTTTTTTCAATTATATGATTTTAATAAGAGAAATATATGCTTACGTGATATAAGTACTTTACACAATCCTTTCTCATTTACATTGTCTTTGTTGCATATAAATAATCAATAATTATATATTAAAATAATCTCCATGAAATTACTATAACGTTTTTTTATTTATTTAATAAAGAATTGACACAAGTCTAAATTTACTATAATACTCTTATATTATAATTACAAAAATATCTCTCTTCTCATAATCGGTTAGAATTATTATAATACATTTCTACCTTAATTACAAAAATACTTTTCTAATCATAATTGGTCAAAATTATTATATTATCCTTCATACCATTATTATATAGATACTTTTCCTACCATAATTAGTTAAAATTACTATAATATCTTTTTTACCATAATTATGAAAATACTTATAATAATTGGTCAAAATTGTAATAATGTCATTTTTTAAATTATTTTTGTAGTTTTATATATTTCATTTCTAATTTTTTACATGAATTAAGTTAATTAAATTCCATGAATTAAGTTAACTAATATATTTGTCTCTCAAGAATTGAGATTTAGTTTTATTGTCAAATTTTGTGGAAAAGCCCTAAGATTATGAAATATTTATTAGGGGCATTTTAATGTCTAAAAAGTAAAATGAAAATTTCCTTTCATAGTATAAGTTAATTGTCAAGTGGAGGCAATTTGATCATTTCGGTTGAATTGACGTGTCAGGTCGACCTGAAAGTCTGAGTTTTATGTCAGTTTGGCCACCTACCAACACATGCGAATGCTAACTTGTTATCCCCTGGTTAGACCGCCAACTACTAGCTTAACTCAGGCTTATAACGTTAGCCTTAACCTCTCAGGCCACTTAGGCCTAGAGTTCCCCATCACATAGGTATAAGTATCACCTTCCAAGTATTCTTAAATTAACGAAAGCACTAGCTTCCTTATATTTTTCCTTTTTCTCCTTCCCATTTCTTGATCGAAAAATGACTTGAGCGTTAAAAAATATATACTAGTAAAACTCTCATCCTTTATCATTAATTGATCTATTTTTTTGTGCTTTTAGGTTCTTATCCCTCATAGATAGCTCGACACAAATATTTTGGCAGGCCAGGTAAGGCTTTATGATTCAGTCGAGCTAATATGGCACCAAAGGAGAGAGCAATTGAGGCAAAAGATACTACTGTAGTCGGGATCGATATCTAATTCAACCAACCAAACCCTAATCGACCTGCACCTATAATCCCAACCATCGAATAGTTTGAAGCACTTATCTAACAACTACAACCTTTAAAAGAATTGACACAAAAACTGACTTTACCATAACCTTCTAAAGAACCAAACCCAACAACTCCAAATAACTTAGCAACATAAAAATTATCGACCTACAACGACATTGCTGCCTCATCAATATTTGACGAGGATGAAACACCAATGGCCCATTACCTTACAAATACCCTAACATAGGTTACCACTCATAAGTCCAAGCAAGCCACCTTAAAACCACTATTTAATAAGGATTTAGAAACACCGATGGAGGCAATGAAGATGAGTTAAGGAATAAAGCATCCACTTATGACAATGAGTTAGAAACCTCCTTTTTCATTGAGGTTTTTAGAAACCTCCCTTTTTATTGAGGTTTTTAGAAACCTCCCTTTTTATTGAGGATATAGACTAAACACTGCTAACCAAAAGATTTAAAATGTTGACCTTAGAACTTATGATGGTACATCTAATCCTTCCGATCACTTGAATTTTATCTTACTAACATGATGATACAAAGAGCCAATGAACCCTTTATATGCACAGGACTTACCACAACACTCAAAAGGATAGCCCGATCCTGGTACAATAACCTTGAGCTAATGTCCATTACTACATTTAAATAGCATAGCCACATCTTCTTATCCCATTTCATCAACAACTGACAAATAAAGAAAATGACATTGAGCTTATGTCTATCTACCATGAAAGAAATGAATCCCTAAAAAAATATATCATGTATTTTAACACTGAGGCTTTTCAAGTAAAAGACCTAGAATAAGCAACTGTAATGGCTACCTTGACCAATGTATTGAATGACTAAGAATAACACTTCATGTTCACCTTTTCCCTGGAGTCATTGAAGGCTTTGGCCGATGTGCTACTTATCATTGAAAAATACAAAGCTAAAGCTATAACAAAAAATAATTGAGGTGAGAGAGGCTCATCATTTTCTCGACTCACAGAGAGGAAAAAAAATCAACAATCCTCAGAAAGAAAAAAAATCTGAAAGGTACCTTAAGGCAAGAAACCCAAGCAGACGATACCATGACTTACACTACACTAAATATCTTTCGAGAGAGAATTTTCATGTAAATAGGAAGAGACCTCGAGCTTAAATGACCTAAGCCACTAAGATAAAATAATAAAAAAATCCAACAAATTTATATGCCTTCTATAGAAATTATGGCCATAACATCAAAAATTGTATCAATCTTAAGAGTGAAATAAAAAAATTGATCAGAAGAGGTCAACTGAATAGGTTTGTACACTAAAAAAAAAAAGGGTAGGGGAAAGGGGATTTTAGAAGAAAAAACCAAAAAGAACAGCTAGGGGAAACTAAGAGGAAAAAAAGATAAGGTAATCAAGGTGATGATGATCGTAGGCTCGATCAAAAGGAAAAAGAGAGACATGATGTAGACAATTAGTCTATCATGGGAATCACTAATGTGATCATTGGTAGGACCTTGACATTAGCTAAGAAAAAGTTTGATCAAAGGACAATAATGGCCATCGGGTCCTCAGCAAAGAAACAAAAAAGTTAAAAAGATAAGTCGATCTCCTTCAACTTGAAAGACTTGGAAAGGATCCAGTTTTCACATAATGATGCCATTCTCATTCAAGTCGTGGTCTACAACCACGTGGTAAAGAGGATTATATTCGACAATAAAGAGTTCGATCAACATCTTATATTATTTAATTATATTAAGGATAAAGATCATCGAAGAGATGCTGAATTCATTTACTACCACTTTGATCAATTTTGAGAATGAATAGGTGCTAGTGAAAGGTACAATTAAAATGTCAATCACATTGGGCACAAAGTTAAAAAGTGTCATATCGATCATTAAGTTTATAATGGTATATGTCCCTTTAGCATACAACATGATTTTGGACCAACCAAGTCAATTTATTATGGAAATCATTAGCTTAGCTCCTCACTTCAAGACTAAATTTTCTACTCCTAATGAGGTTGGAGAGGTTAAATGAGACCAGTCTATAGCAAGGCAATGTTGTGTTAAAACCATGAAAGGTAGGACTAGGTAGTGAACTTACAGTTTAGCTAAAGTTGAGGAACTCTAAGCCATAGAAAAAACAAAGGTCAAGATCAAATATGTTGAAAGGATAAAAAAAAACAACCAAGGTAAGCCATATAAGATTGATCAAACTAAAAAGAAACAAAAAAATGCTATTTTAAAAGAGAATATCAAATTTTTAAGCTTACCATTTGTAAATACCTTTAAAAGATTTTTTAATACCATGCTTTTAAACCTATATAGATGTTATTTCATTTTAAATTAAGCTTCTAAGTCGATTTCATAAATATAAATGACTACAGTCAGCAAACTATTCAGCTCATTATTTTCATAATAATGCATGAATCTACTTGAATTAATGAATTATACACATTAACACTCACATTGAGATTTGTCCTTATTATAGAAAACAGTCTCAACTTAAGTGAGCAAAAAGAGATCATCGATTAAAAGCTTAAAATTGATATCAATAAACCAAAACTAATAGAAGACCTCATACTTGTGCCATTTTTTAAAAATAATATAGATAAATGTATATAAATATAGTCTAAGCTTGACTACAAAGAATAACTAGTATAGTTCTTAAGAGATAATGTTGACCTGTTTGAATGGATCCCATTAGATATGCCAGGGATTACTCTTGTGGTGATTGTCCATAGGTTGCATATTGATTCGAACATAAAACCATTTTTGCAAAAAAAAAGAAGTTTTGCCTCTAAAAGGCAAAAGGCTATCGAGGAACAAGTTTTCAAGCTTTTAAGGGCTGACGTCATCAAGGCAACATACTATCCTAAATGGATAGCTAACGTTGTCATTGTGAAAAAGCATAGTAGAAAATAAAAAATATGTGTTGATTTCACTGACCTTCATAAAGCCTACCCAAAAGATAGTTTTTTTCTACCAAGTATAAATCGACTAGTAAATGACAATGTCAAGCACGACCTACTCAACTTTATATATGCATACTCAAGTTACAATCAAATTAAAATGCTGAAATAAAATGAGGAAAAAATAGTTTTTATGACCAAAAAGGGCTTATATTGTTAGAAGATAATGTCGTTCAACTTGGAAAATATGAGGACAACCTAATAAAGAGTAGTCAACAAAATGTTCAAGGACCAGATCAATCAAATGTTAATGTATTGTTGATGACATGATTTGTGAAGAGCAAAGACTAGCAAAGCATCTGAAGATCTAGAAAAGACCTTAAACACATTTAAAAATATGAAATGAGGCTCAACTTGAGCAATATGTTTTTGGAATACATCGATTAGTTCTTTGGGTATATAATCAACCAGATGGGGATAAGGCTAACCCTGAAAAAGTTTTAGGTATATTAGATATGAACTGCTGACTT